GCTGAAAGGCATATAATGGATCAAAATTTTAGGTTTTCATCATCTTATCATCAATCACAGAACACCAAAGACGAACCCCGCCATGGTACTATGCCTTCCGGGAGTTGCATCCATACTTTTGAGACCATCCAGGGGGCGCGACCCCCGCAGTTCCCCTTGGGTTTCCACCATGGAGGTAGGAAGTAAGATGGAGTTGCCCTAAACAAGTTTCTCCAGTACCCTGCTCTGAAGCACCGGCGATCCCTACGTGGTGACCAAAACATTGGGTCATTTACCATTGAGTTCAATGGGATTGACGCGTTCGGATGTAAATATTTTGTAATTACGTCGTAAATATACATATAAATGTATATATTTTCTTTTCTACAACACTTCAGAGTCCTAAGTATATGAAAACAACATATTTTTAAACAACATTTCATTCTGAACGGAATTAAATGCTATACTTTTCACAGGACAGTTTTCTCAGAAGGGTTTAATTTGAATGAAATATTTTCACAAGTTTTCGTTAATTACATTAGAAAAAAAAATTAAGGTAATTCGATTTGATTCGGTTAAGGTACAAAAATTAAGATCAAAGATTATTGTACTATTAATATTAAAATTATGCATTATTTGTTTTCTATTTATAGAGCTTCTTCCTAAAATACTTTCTTAAATATGACATGATTTTTTGGCTTCTTTTAAATCGAAAAATGTAAGTCAATTTATAATTAATGCTCTATTCGGTTCATTTTAAATTAGAGAATTATTAGGAATTAGCGAAATACTTTAAATAGTACTTGACTTTCTCTGAACATTTCTGAAAGGGAATAAAATAAGGTTTTTTTTTTTTTTTTTTTTTTTTTAAGTATTTTAAAACTTATAACTGAGTTATTATAAATTGTAACGGGAATAATTCTTTTAATTATACTTATCAGATTTTTTTTAACCTTTCATTTCAACAATACATATTCAAAAACTCTTTATTACTTTCTTAAGTGCGCATCTCATAGCATTTCCTTTACAATACCTTTTAACAGATTGCTTTCCAATACGAACAATTCTTGCTTAAATAGTTTTATAACGTATTTGTCAACAGGATTTCAATTCATGTTTACATTTCAATATTAAGGTTATTATATATTTAGATAACATTTATAATCATTATAAATTAGATACATTTAATAATTAGATTTCTTCACAGTACTTTCACAGTTATTTATAAGTGAATAAATTCTTCATTTCAAATACATTTATAAATAATTTAATGAATACTTATGTATTTCGTCAAAGGCGATACATGCTTTTTGCAATAATATGCAACAATAATATATGGATGTGAAAAAAATTTGTTTTATTTAAAACATTTTGGCTTTTGGAAAATAAAATAAAAGTAGCGAATACTCTATCAAGGGTATCGAAAGACGTATACAATTTTAAATGTACCGTAAGGTATCTTTCATTCTTTAAGCATAACATTTTTCTTAAAATCTATATTTTTTGTAGTTCAACAGCTTAGAATTTTATAAAACAAATTCATAATCAAAATCACGCTGTTGTTAGTTATCGAAAAATAACCAAGATGTGATTTTTGCGTAAATGTCACTAAACTATACAAATTGCTAATATCCATCACACTATGAATGTTTCTTTCATGCGAAAGTGTCCCTTTTTCGATTTGTATGGAACTGTCGTGTGTCGAAATACTATCAGAACCGTGTCAAGCGAGCTTCTGAATGTAAACAAAGAACACCCCATCTGGTGACCCAAGCTTCAAAGTAGTGCTTCACTTCTAGTTCCGACTGGCCCCTCCTTCCTTTCCTACCTCCATGGTTTCCACGAAGCATGGGACCGAAGAACGCTATGAAGAGTTTAAGAACGAAGACATTTTTGCCCCGGGAGCATCCAATATTGAAAAGAGTGGTCTATACCAGTACAAGTCCCCCACGAGGGACCAAATGAAACCAAACCCTCAAAGATAGCCACATATCATACGATGTAACAACAACTCCACAGCCAAGGGGAAGACAAGACAGTACCAGTACGGTTCCCGCCAAGCCTGAACCATCTCCCGAATAAACGGAGGTTCTAGTCCTGAGACTCCTATATACCCCCGTGTTTGAGACTGCCTAAGTACAGATCCTAGCTAATATTTCCCAGAAATTCTCCTGAGTCAAATCCCGGGGGGGGGGGAAGGGGACTGTCAACCGCAGTCTGCACTTCAGGATCCCGAAACGGATGCGCACATCAATTCCATAGAGGTTACTTAGTCTGGAATAAAAGTTCATTTGCGTCGCAGTACAAATCACGTAGATTTTGATTTGAATATATGTGGCGAAAATGGCACAACCAACTCATTGAGTGATGAATGTTATCGTGTCTTTTTAACGGCAATTATAAAAATTTATCCGCCGTTTCTGGCGGATAAAACAGAGTAAATTTTCTTAAAGATGGCGGTTTCAGGAGGGTTTCCTTCCTGACATAAATTTTTAAAAATTCCCTCAAAAAGACTTTAAATTTTTTCTGAAAAGGGTAAGTGAAAAATGTTTTCTTTTAATTTTTAAAGTTGCTTACTTTTAATATTTTGCTATCTTTTCTTAAAGAATTGTGCCATTTTTTTTAAATACTTGTTCGATGTCATTTTGTTTAGCATTTGGGGAGCGTCTCGAGAAGGGGTGGGGTATAATTCCAGAGACGTTCCACAGAAACGTGCTAAATTGGCAATATTTTGAAAATCGCCAAGCAGTGGGGTTAAGTTCATTTTCACCAAAATGTATAAAAACGTTTCAGTATAAATAAAATCATCTTATTCTTTCCAAGCAACAATCAATTCGTAAATAATTTTTTGTTGCCAAACTAGGAAATAAAAACTTTTTTGACTCTTCAGGTTAATACGTGTATTCATGACGTCTTGGTTTAAATTTAATGTAATATAACAATTTTTTCTCGATAAAGGAATTAGCGTGGCAATAACATGCCGTGTCAGTTATTCTAACCCGAAATAAAAATGTTGCCAACAGTAGCTATTTGTTTAAAATTCTGATATTAACGAAACATTTTCGACATACAGTGACCCATGCAATCGCGTGCTTGCTTCAACGTCAGAATATGATCTTATATATAATAGTAATATATCTGATGATTGGCAATGCTATTTTATTTCACATTTTGTAAAACTTACTAATTTGTTATTAACAAACTCTACGATTTGAAAGCGATCAGTGGCAACACTTTTCGAAATAAATATAGTTTTATCTCCAGCGCGTGAGAGTTTTCAGAGTTAGAATTAATATCTCTGCTGATTAAAGTCGTTATGAAGATGCAAATAGTAGAAATGGCTTCCCAGGAATTTCTAGATCGGGGAGTACTCTTTCGAACCTCAACTCGCAGCCGTTCCGAAAGAGATGGTATCAAAAACAAAAGACACGCACAAATTTTAATAATGATAGAAGTTTTATTATTTCTTGCATTGTTATTATTAATATTAACTTTATAAATGCAAACAAGTCTTCAAGGGGAAAAAATCACAGATTATAAATTACACAAAAGTTGGATTTTAATTAATGTGATATTTGTGCTTGATGTACTGATGCATTTTTTTTTAAATATTTGGCACAAAATTGTTTGATTTAATTCTAAAATCATCTCGCTCAAAAATATTAAACATATTTTAAAATACGTTATTTGTTTTTAAACTATATTAAATAACTGTGTATTTTCCTCATCCATTTTTTGTACGAGTTCTTCCTTATTACATGATACAGCTTTGCATCAATAAACCGTTAATTATTAACTTCATTAATAAGTTTCTCGGAATCAATAAGATCTTGAATATGCAGATCAATTGCTGATGCATATTTGGCTGTCGATCCCCAACAGACCCCTTGATCTTCATTGACCTCCTTCAAAATTTCATCGAGCCCCGTTGTGAATCCCTACTCTGATCTAAAGAAAACATACATTTGAAACGTATTTTGGGTTAAATTTCTTCTGGGAGTTCAAAATGCTACAGAAAAATAAAAATAAGAAGTTAAAAAAGTACAATATTTGTATATGAAATTTAATAAAGCTCTAATTTTACAAAATGAAGCAGCTAGTATGGCATACTCTTTCAAGATATTTTTGGAGAAAGGAGGAATGCATATATTTGAAGAAAAGATAAAATCTGCATTAATATATACTTTCAAACTTGTATTAGATTCAGAAGATCCTCAAAGGGTGATAGCAATAATAAAACAAAGCATGGGTACTAATATTGTCTAAAAAATAGTAGTACATATAATGGAGATAATTTTATAAAACTCATCTTAAGCTGGGGCTTCGTGTGAAAGATTATTTTTAAGTCAGATCTGATATACGAATAAATATTATTGTATTCATCGACATGTTCACCACGTACACTTCTGTGCACGTGTGTATGTGATTTATTGCCCAAAATAATTCTTGAAACAAAAAATGTTTATATTACTATTTTTTATTCCAAATAAAATGTGCATGAACTTGAAATAGCAACAACATCATGTAGGCAAAATTAATATCTGAGTGTCAAAAGCATAGCTCATGAAAGACACGTGAACATCACGCGCGGCTCAGCCACAATAGGATATAAAAACAAAAACATCCATATGTAAAAGTTTTAAAAAAATAGAACTTTATTCCCGGCTATTTCGCTGATGCAATGCTGCATCATGGTCATCTCTAACAACTAGGCACATGATATCGAATCACACACTATTTTCTAAAAAAAAGTATTAAATATTAATAAACGAATAAATGCCTCTCATAGTATCTCCGGCAATGCTAGGCTTTTGTTGGCAATCCACCATCACGCCACAGCAGACGATTTTCGCGTGGCTGCTGGTGATCACGCCATGTGGTTCTATGACAGTCGCACCAACCAATACAAAAGCTTTGCTCCAGTGACGTCACTCACGTGACCAACTCTTTGCTCTCCGCTCGCGTGGATTTCGAATTCTTATTTTAGAAATGCCGGTATAGCATCGTACTGAGGGGTAAGTGGTCATATCCGCCCGTTTTAAACTCTGTTATCTCTCTTTCGCAAAACTCGAGTTTTTGTTTAGTGCGTGGGTCTAAATTTATCCACAACAGAACTTTGTACTCGCATCGAAATCCGTTTAAGAGATATTGATAAAAATTAAAAATAAAATAGTCTTTCGATTTTTCTGCCCTTTTACACAGATCCGGTGTTAATTGCGAGATTGAACTCTGACCGATGCGTTTTATATATAAGAGAAAAAAAAAATTATGGTGTCTCAGACTTATGAGTAAATCCATTTTGGGCGGACTGAGCATGAAATTGTAGAATTTAAAAATTAATACATTACGAAGAACTGCTTTTTGCTTAACAAATTGTTTTTATTGGAGACTGAATAATTTACCGTAAGTATAATATTTACCTTATTTTTTTCAATTGTTTATATCTGTAAAGCTATTTTTCATTTCGTTAATGAATTCACTTTGAATTTGAATACCTTTAAAATTATTTCGTTCAGTTATTTTTTTCAATACTTTACACATAAAATTTTTTAAATGTCAATAATTTTAATAAAAGTTCAGTTTACAGATACGATGAGATAAGCTGCAAAATATTATATTTTTTAACATTAAAAAATAACTGGCTGAGTTTCTCCTGCAGTTTTTGAACTGAATGTTTGAAAAAAAAATTAATATTTTAGACAATTTAATTCAAATTTAATTTAACATAAGACAGTATATAGTTTGCACTAATTTGTTTAAACATTTTGAGTTTACTGCTTTACATATTTAGAGATATTGTAATGTATTTGTCGAGTATGTTGTAACAAAGCATTTAAGGTAATAATTTTTATGTAATATTAAAGAGAATGGACATTTGGTTTCCAATAGAACTCTTAAAGAATTGAATTTGTGCATTGATGTTTGTAATAATTTTCTTACTTGTTTACCTTAATTTTCTTACCTCTTCTTACTCTGCATATAAATTGCCTTATTTTACTGTAATACATTTGGAGAATTAGATTTATGAAATATTCGATCAAAATCAAAAATCATTTCAAAACAAACATTAATTATTTTAGAAATTTTCTCGCATATGATTTTACTTCATTAGAAAGCAGACTCTTAGTCCTTTTCCAAGTGGTAAATATTATGTTTCAAAATAAGGTATGTTTCCAAAATAAGGTAAATATTATGTTTCAATTTCAAATGTCGCCGAATTTAAAATTTTGCTTCCCCCCCCCTCTCTGGTAAACTAAGGATTGCAAGAATAAAATTTATGTATCAGGAAATAGCAATATCGGAAAGCTTTATTTAAATTTTTGATTTTAATGAAATCAGTATATTTAAAATGTTGGACTCTTGATTTAATGAAATGTTTTTCACTAAAAATGGGGTAATCAAACTTGTGTCCAAAATGCATGGACTTTTGATAATTTTGAATGTCATTTTGATAATTTTGAATTGAAATGTATTCTATATTGCAAGTTAGAAGTTATTCTGAAGTCTAATAATTTATGCTTTTTGCATTTTTTAACTAAAACCAATTTTATTTATTAATCCGAAGATTAAAATTTATAAAAATCCAAAACTAATGCTGATTGAAAGGGAAACTTATAAGTATTACATTATTAAAAATACAATTGCTTGCATATTTAATATATTTATTGTAAATATAGTCATACTGAATTATTTATTGTAAATATGGTATTTTTTTATTTATTTTCAAAATACTTTTGTTATATTATGGTTCGGCTTTTCGAAAGGATGCTTTTCGGATGCTGAAGTTTGATATAGAGATAATTAAAAAAATGCTGCTCATTTTAGACGAAATTTTGAGAGTTCTATTTCCTAACTTGAATATTTTGAATTTTGGCAATTTAATACAAATTTAAAATCGGTTTAATAATATTTTATTGAAAAATATCTAGTTAAAAGTGTTGTAATGAATAGGATGCTTTTCGGATGCTGGCGTTTGAAACAGAGGTAATTAAATATTAATGCTGCCCATTTATATGAAATTTTGAGACCTTTATTTCCTAACTTGAATACTTTGTATTTTAACAATATAATATCGGTTCAATAGCATTTTAGTAGAAAATATTTTTAACTCGTATTGAAAATATCTATTTAAAAGTGTTGTAATGAATAATAAAATATTTAAGCAAATTTTAATGCGTGTCATAAAATTTTGAATTTAATATCTTTATATAAAGAACTAATTTTTCATATGATTGAGAACTTAAGTAACCTGATTGTACGTTCAAATTAATTAAAATTTACTGATTTTGATAATCAGTATAAAATCTAATGTGTGTTGATACTTTCGGTTTCGTTGACACTGATTCTTAAAACAAAATATTTACTCAAGAACTCGTTTTTAAAATCTCTATCTGCATCGTGTGCTGATTAAAATTCTGTCGTGAATGATTACAGGAAGTGTCGTGCAAAGAGGTCATTTTTCTTTTCGTCCTTTTAAACAGTCATTGCGCCATCTGTCGCATTTTCGCCGAACTAATTTGTCTTGCATTGAGCGAGTTCCTGTGCGTTCAAAATTCGGTGAATAGCGACAAATTAGTTGCACGAAATTTGTATTACTTCTTAGATAAATCAGTATCTGGGTTGGTTGTGGGCAGAATAATAGTCTAAATTACAAATTTTATATTAAACGAGATAAATTTGCAAAAACTTTGCTGTTACTTCAGTAATTTAATCTGTAACCAATTCACTGTATTATGGAAGAAATCTGCGCTCTCCTAGGATTAAAAGTATTCAAAAAGGTACTAATCTTCAGTAGATTTTTCTCTCTTATGAAGAGGCATGTTGTTAACATCTTGAAATGCAGCGTGTTTGTTCTCCTTTTTACAAAATGATATTGAGTAAAAGAAGACTACTGGAAGTCAAACTGGACTGAACCTTTTTTCCAGAGATTAATTTTTAGTCAAAATGTCACTAAGAATAAATATAAAATAAAAAGCTATTGTGAAAAATATGATTTATAAAAAACTTTATGTAAATTTGATAATCTTAAAGTAATAAGAAATTTCTGAATTCTTCAATTTGTTTTATATTTCATCTTCTAGTAAGCTTTTAAATAATGACATTAAAACCCAACTTCCATTATAAAATCTTCACAATTTCCTGTGGGGAAACACGTGCCCGAAATTTTATTCGATAAGGCAATCTCAACCCCTCCTTCTTAAATGGTATTGTCTTCTTAAATTTCAGTATGATATAGTTAATTCATTTATAAAAATTCATGTTCCAAACAGAACTATTAAGGAGATAAAGAAGCTGAAATTGTGAATATTTAATAAAATTAAACAACTGTCTACATTAGATTATCGAATTAATGCAAAGAAAGCAGTTATTAATTGAATGACCTCAGAGCCAGATTTGCTATTTGAGATATGAGCCCTTTATAAGTCTGATTTAATACTATTTATAACTATATTTTAATTTTTGTAACCCACAAAGCTTAGGGCCCCAACAAAGTGGGGGCCCTAAGCTATGGTTTATGTAGCTTATACGTAAATCCGGCCCTGTATGACCTTCATTCTAGCCTTGATCGAACTACCAGCAACCGAGAGAATAAGCTGGCTAAACACTGATAGTTTTACTTGGCGAAAGAGCTGGCTGCTTGAGCGTTTTCCTCATGTTTTTTGTGTTCACAAACCATATTCCCTGAGAAAATCGCCCAAAGATACTATATTTCCCTAAGGTAGACAGATGTTGCTTTAACAACAACAATTTAAAATAATCTTTTAAAGTCCTTTTCGAAAGCATCCTTTCTGAAACAGCTCCGAATGCTTCACCGTAGTTAAGACCCAAAAGATCCGATGTGAAATGTGATTTTTTTCGCTTTATTACATATTTTCCTATCGTGTATTCTTCTCCCCTTGTTTCTCCGTTATTTTTAACATTTTATACATTCCTTTTTCGCTTGTTACACATTTCTTACATAATTTGTTGACCGACAAGAGTGAAGGTGATTTCTGAAACTCAGCATTAAATATACAGTTCTTATAAGATTAACGATATTTCAGGAGCCATAACTTTCAAAATAGCGTGCGTGATCTTATAACGCGGCTGTAATTCTGATATCCACTACACATTACTATTTTAAGGAGGAAATACTACGCGAATTATTTCTAGAAAGTTTGGTACTTCCTTGTTAAAACGATCATGAGTCATTGGCGACATTGACAAAATTTGATCTCCCATTATACATGGGAGATTAAATTTTGCCGTTTCTGGTAACAAAGTGCGGTGGTCTCTTTAATATGGAAGTATGAAATGTTCTCAGCAAGAACACCTTTATTTATAAAGTCTGTAATTCAAACATTAATCAGAAAAAAATGTTTTTTATAACAAAATGCTTTAAGCATTTAAAAAATCCCTTATGTAGTACTATGCAAAACAGTGATTAAGAAATCGTTGGGCATACATATGTAATTTAGAATGTTATAATTAAAACATTTTAATCAAGTACGTTGGGCATAGAAAGAAGAGTAAGTATTATTGAAACCACCTTAATAGATATCCTTAATGTTTGAAAATGTGTTAAATTCTGACAATCTTGTACATACAAGCAATTACGTGCATGACTGTTGTTCAGTTTTAACAAACAGCTTCTCCATTTTCGTACGAGTTCTTTTTGTCGTATTCCAAAGGTTTCTATAGACAAATCGTTAAATTTCTCTTGAATTCAATTTTTAAATATATGCTTGTGAGCTTTGCGTACATTGAAAAGTTGCGGTAATATTTCGATGTTAGTGCAACCACCTTAGTAGAAGTCAAATTCTCACAACCATACACATAGCAATTCTTCACGCAACTATGCACATAATAATTCCCCTGTTTCAGTAGCATCGCCTTTCCCCATGTGTAATGTGTAACGTGTATACAAGCCAATTTCCCTTAAAACGGCCTCCACGAAGACATCCCTCCCCTTAGGCAGATAGCCCTAGTGTGCTTTGCCATAATTAAATACACCACCACCTCAGTATCATCGCCATTTTCGTATGCGCTCTTTTTGTTGTAATCCAAGTTTTAGTAGTTCTTACAGAAGAAATATATTATATTTTTTTGTCTTTAATTTTAAAATATACGCACCTAAATTTTGCTGCTGTAAGAGAAACTGTGTATAATTTCTACACGAATATAATAGTTTGCCGCAAAATCGGTATAGGGAACAAATGTCTCGCCACAAAATTCTACCAGAAAAAAAGAAATAAAAACTAGCTCTTAAGTAAGTTTATTGATTGATTAGATATATGATGTGCCATGATAGATACATAATTAAAACCTGAAATATGCATGCAATTATACGTATGTGCATCATATGTAACTTTTTGCCACAGAATCGTCATTCTTTTTCTCAAAAAATTGCCAAACTGCCCCAA